TATCAAGTTAACTCTATTGATTAAATCTAGGGGAAAATGCTTCCCGCCCCCAAAAGCCAAGTGAACATGCTTCCCACCCCCAGGACTTGGTCAATGGGTGTTTTACCCCTAAAAATAAAGAATCTGTTCTCTGAGCCCCCAAAACACAAAACCCAAGACATTAAAACATGTGAAGACCATAATACTCTTCTCTCTCTCTTTCTTTTTTTATTAAAATATGATGGGGGTTATTTTATTATTTTTGTTTTCTCTCTCTTTATCATGATGTACCAAGAGGATAGTTGAAATGATTGATGATGATTATTTTATTATTTTTATTTTTTATTATTTTGGTTGTTTGTATTGGGAGGTTGTTAAGGTTACAGATTGGTTGTTAAGGTTACGGGTTGGTTGTTAAGGTTAAGGGTTTGTTGTTAAGGTTATGAATCCCCTCTCTCTCTCTCTTTCTTTTTTTATTAAAATATGATGGGGATTATTTTATTATTTTTGTTTTCTCTCTCTCTTTATCATGATGATTGATGATGATTATTTTATTATTTTCGTTTTTTTATTATTTTGGTTGTTTGTATTAGGAGGTTGTTAAAGTTACGGGTTGATTGTTAAGGTTACGGGTTGGTTGTTAAGGTTAAGGGTTTGTTGTTAAGGTTATGAATCCTCTCTCTCTTTCTTTCTTTTTTTATTAAAATATGATGGGGATTATTTTATTATTTTTGTTTTCTCTCTCTCTTTATCATGATGTACCAAGAGGATAGTTGAAATAATTGATGAGGATTATTTTATTATTTTTGTTTTTTATTATTTTGGTTGTTTGTTTTGGGAGGTTGTTAAAGTTACGGGTTGATTGTTAATGTTACAGGTTGGTTGTTAAGGTTAAGGGTTTGTTGTTAAGGTTATGAATCCCCCCCTCTCTCTCTTTCTTTTTTTATTAAAATATGATGTGGATTATTTTATTATTTTTGTTTTCTCTCTCTCTCTTTATCATGATGTACCAAGAGGATAGTTGAAATGATTGATGGAGATTATTTTATTATTTTCGTTTTTTATTATTTTGGTTGTTTGTTTTGGGAGGTTGTTAAAGTTACGGGTTGATTGTTAAGGTTACGGGTTGGTTGTTAAGGTTAAGGGTTTGTTGTTAAGGTTGTGGATTTGTTGTGTAGGTTACGGATTTGTTGTTAAGGTTACGAGTTTAATTGTTAAGGTTACGGGTTTAATTGTTAGGGTTACCTATCTAAAGATTCTCTTGGTACATCATGATAAAGAGAGAGAGAGAAAAATAATAAAATAATCCTCATCATATTTTAATAAAAAAAAAGAGAGAGAGAAGGGTATTATGGTCTTCACATGTTTTAATGTCTTGGGTTTTGTGTTTTGGGACTCAGAGAACAAAATCTTTATTTTTAGGGGTAAAACACCCATTGACTAAGTCTTGGGGGTGGGAAGCACGTTCACTTGGCTTTTGGGGGCTGGAAGCATTTTTCCCTTAAATCTAATATTTAGGACTCTATTCTCGTACCCTTGTTGTGGGTTAAGGAAAAATTAAATGAGGTGATTAATAAATAATGGGTCTTTATGAAATAAACACTCTTTAGATAACAGAACAGGATGAATATCAAAGGATTGATCAATCATTTTCCTTCCCTTCTCATATGAGAAAATTGAGAATTATTTCAACCAGCTTTTCTACACCTTACAATTATGGCCACCTTTTTGGGACCTTGGAAGCATATCGTTTCCCTCCATTTCTATTGGGATGAAGCCGTTGGACGTGTCCCCCTTTAATTTGAATTCAAACAACCAATAATTTGGAAGGGCCCTTTTCAATTTGCATTATAGTAAATCCATTATTGTTGTGTATTTTCAAGGAAAAAGAAGGGCAAGATGGCCTCCTCAAAATATGCCATGTAAGATGTCATCGTTTGGGTTTTTAATATTTGTGTTTTCATTTTCTATCTCAAGCTAAAATGAAGCAATACAAATGATCTGATGATAGCTAACAAAGGAGATGGTCAAAAATAAAAACTAAGAATAAGATTCATTAACTAATCTCGAAATTTTGGGATAAAAACTTTGTTGTTGTTGTTTCTCTCAAAATTCATATATGGCATACTGGTCCATTTTCTGGGGGAAAAGATATGTTATTGTAGGCTGTCTAAAAATTACTGCAGATAGCTGATCCCCATCAAACACCGATGATGGAAGTTATAATTTGACAGCTTCTAGAATGCTACAATTTAAAAACTTTCACGTAGATCGATGAATGTTACAACCTGACAACCTTCACGACAACCGATGAAAGCTCTAATTCAATAGCCTTCACAATCAATATCGGGAGTTACAATCTGACGACTCTCATATTTTATTATTTTTAATATCTGGAAGGTTACATGATGACGATCTTTGCAACGCTCTAGCAAAAGAGACTACAAATTGACGGTCTCTTCAAATCAAAACGGAAGTGGCCTCGTTCTAGAGTCAAAGCAATGCAAATGCAGCTTCAACCCAGCTGCAAACGTAACTCCTAAACGCTGCCAAACGCAACTCTTAAATGCTGCTAATGCAGCTCCTAAACGCTGCCAAACGCAACTCTTAAATGCTGCTAACGCAGCTTCTAACTACTGCCAATGCACCTTTCATTCGTTGCCAAACGCAACTTCCAAATCGCTATAAACGCAGCTTCTAGACGCTGCAAACGCAGCTTCCAGACGCTGCGTCCGAGCTTCCAGACGCTGCGTCCGAGCTTCCGGACGCTGCGTTCGAGCTTCCAAACACTGCGTTCAAACTCAGAATTCATGCCAAAACGCAAATTTTGCGTTTGACTCGTTCAAATACGAACTGAACAGTTTCAAAACCGTTTTCCATGATTTGCGGGGATCACTCCCCCACTTAGGAGCGAATTAAGGGGTATTTACACCCCTTAACCCTCCTATAAATCTCAACAAACTCAACCGAGTTAAAGGCTGTCTTTTTGGAATCGGGAGAGATCTCTTAGGCAGATCAGATCTTGGCAATCTTCGGATCTTCTGGAGCTACTCTTGGAGCTTTTCTTTGGCTTGAAACCGATTTCGGTTAAACCAATTAACTCTTCCACATAGTTATAACTCGCTCAGAGTTCCCTAACTCGTTAAGAGTTATTTTCAAACTTGTCACACAAGCTATCCTCGACATCAATCAAGAGGATTCAACCGTGTTCCACGAGTTTAAACGTTGGATCATCGAGAAGCAATATTGACACGAGTTCGAGGGAGGCATCTCATCGCTACTGTGAAGAACCCAGATTTAAACAAAGGAAAGGACCTCCGTCGATCTCTCTCTCTTTTGTAATTCGGGAAACCGATTGAAGGAATTATAATTTCTTTTTCTAAGTTTGTTAGAGAGAGATTGCAGAGAGAGAATTGTTAATTAATTCTTTTTCTGAGTTTGTCAGAGAGAATAATACAAATTTAATTCTCAATTTCTTCTTTGAATTTTCCCACCAAACAGTTATTTTATATTTAAGATCATATATAGAGGAAGGAGGCTATATGCAACATAATAATTTTAAATAAGTATAAACGTCATATGAAAACCAGCGTAAATACAATACTGCATCAGTATAAACAATATAAAATTTAATGCAAATCACAAAGCCTATAACTAATACTGGAACATGATAGTTTAACATTTTCCTTTTCCTTTATGATGATTTGTTCAGAGGGCCCTCTAATTGATCCTTTTCCCCATTTTCAGGGACTTCTCACTTCTGTTTCATTAGGGGTCTTCCACTGAAAGAGACAAATATGCGGTCGGTTGGTGCAGTTGGCTTTCGATTCAAGACAGTATAATTTTACAATTATCAGAAAATTATGTCTCAAAGCTTGTTCTGCCAACTAATCGAATATGATCCCTCTCTTTTAAAAATGAAATAAACGTGTTTTTATTTAAACCCTTAGGAATATCAGGTGACATCTACGCTGACTTGTATGACTAAGGCCAATAAATGTACTTTACTACTTGAGAGTGAATAAACCATTACTCAACTATAATAGTCTTATAAATTCAAGATAATTGATTATCACATATTACAGATTGTAATTGAGAAACTGGTATTCCTATTGATTAGATGCAGTGTGGAGGATCTAAATCATTTATCAGTAATAAATCAGCTATACAAGCTAGGATTCGTATGGGTCTGAAATAAGTGATAATTGAATCAACTTGTAAGTCATAATTCACCTAATAATTGACAAATAATTCATAAACTGTCGAGTCCCTTCCGCATAATTAAACCACGAATTCGATGCGAAGAGTTATTAGCCAGTTAAAAGCTAGTCACATATATTAGAAAACTTATTAGATTCAAGAAATGAGAATGTATATATATAAAGAGGATGTCATGTATATAAAGGACTTGGTCCTCAGGACATACAGTTGCAATGCTTCTCCTTTTTTTTTCTCTCCTTAACTCGTGATTTTTTTTCCCTTTTTTTATTGGAACGCTAAGAACACGTTATACGAGTGGAATAAAACACTTTACGAGGAACGGAGTGAAAAAAAAAAAAAAATTCACATTATACTTTAAGAAAAAAACTGGAATGCTTTGCTCATGATATTTGAGCAGAGTAGAGATTTTAGGAGGGATGAGGGAGTTAAAAGATCTCTAATTTTTGTTGTCCTAATGATCTTAATAGAACAAGATTTTAAAATACGCTCATTTTGATCCCACTGTAGAAGCTGTCAACTCCCTACGAGGTGAGCTTCCCTCGAAAATTTGAAGCAGACCTTGTATTTTAGGGACTAATATCTAAATGACCCTATTCTAAAACTGATGTCAAGAAACAAGTTTTAGCTTAGCCAAAAGCTAAAAGCAACATATCTTCTGAAAAAGGCTCTGCAATGAAATTAAAAAAAAATATATCAACCATGCAATCATCTCGCGACAAAGAAGTCACAGAAATTCAGGAATCTTCATAGATATCATGATCACCTTCGTTTGGGGGTGATTCACAAAGCAAGCAAATCCGTAAGAATAAACAACCATACATGAACTCTCACCCAACAACGAATCCATCAGCATTAATGACCATATGGGTACAAAAAACAACCAATACTCAGAAATCATGCCATCACACTAAGTGAGGTTGCACAGGCACAACACAACCACCTTCAACAACATTTTGTACATTGACTTCAAGCAGAGACGGTTACATTCTGTCCAAATAGAACACACATCCGCTCCAAATTTCGAAAAAAAACTTCTGTTTCTGTTATCTTAGAAGAAACTAGCTTATCGTGTCTAATTCTGTATCAGGAGCTGTTTTCTTCAGCAGATAGTTGGTCCTCGTGATCCCCGTTACTCAAAGGTTCGACTTCAGGCAGATCTTGATGGGCCTCCGCTGGCTTCATCTCCGATTTCTTCTTCTCCTTCTGAACAACTTGCCTCGGCATCACTTCAAGAAGAAAGCTTGCACCATTCCATATGGTTGCTGATACTTTGAGTATCTGAAATATCACATGCAACTTGTATGACAGGAATATGGGGACCGTCAGTGCTAGGGTTGCTACCGTGAAGACAGCTTGGAACAAAATGTACATTGTGGGTCGGTTCTGATCACCAAGCAGCCCACTTAACCGCCACCAGATGTTGTTTGCCTTCTGTGCCTTCTTTGAGAGTTCTCTGTTATATAAAATTAGAGCCAGGGGTTACATTCTTTTTCCTCGCAAGCAGAAAAGAAATTGAATAATATTGTTTTTAATGGAATGATTTTTTTTTCAGAAAACAATGGAATGATAATGTTATCCTTGAAAATGTACAAAACTACCTATAAATCTTATCATGAAGCAACAAAAAAAAAGGAAAAAGAAAAAAAGAAAAAAAAATCAATAATAGTTTCTTCATGTTGAGCAGTATAATAGTTTCTTCATGTTGAGCAGTTTAACCGATTTTATCGTTTTCTTAGACGAGTCCCAGTATGGCTGATCTATCTGAGAAAACATCATCAATGACGCATATTACCAAGATATGAGATTATCAAGGATTTAGTCCATTATTATACTTTAGAAATTTGGAAATCATTTGTGTTGGAACCAGTTTACCACCCATACAACTAATTTATTGCAGTATATATACTTTTTTATCAGCTAAACAGTCAATATCATCACAGTTGAATAGTAGGACTTATGCAAGAAAAGACTTAGATATTTATTTCCTCCAAGGAAGAAAAGCATTAGACAATTTGTTTCAAGGGAATGATTATGTTATCCATGAAAATGCAAAACAACCTTTAAAATTAGTCACAAAGAAAATCAATTCATGCTCACTTGTGCTGATCAGTTTAACAAGTTAATTTTATCAATTTTCTTACACAAGTCCTATATTCCTGATCAATCTGCGAATGCTTCATAGACATTTACTTTCAAGATATGAGTAAATAAAGAAATTAATCCATCATTATGCTTTACCAATTTGGAACTACCAAAATCATCCAACCAATTATCACAATCTATAGATTATGATACCGCGATTATCATCGAAATAGTCTATATCTCAACAGTATGGTAAGAGAAAAAAATTGACTACTTCTATCTGTACGCTACTGTAAAAAAAGGGTGATAAACTAGAAGTAGGACCTGTAAGAAGTCATGACTTCAGGATCCCGCAATAGCCTCTGTCGACGAAGAACATTAACAATAAGGAAATACAAAAGCTGCCACAGGGTATAAGCAACCAAAGGAACAACAAAGAGCCATGTCCATAGATATGATTTGTCCTCAACATATGGCCATGATATCCTTGCTGCTTTACCCACGGGATGCATGGCAGCAAATGTTTCTGGATCCCACCACCTTATAGTAAAGAAAACTATCCCTGAAACAAGACATATTTCATCTGAAGCCATTGAGCTAGACATAAATTCTAAGAGAGTTCATGCTGATTTTCACAAAAAGGTCTATAGCTAGATTGTATAACAGAAGGTAATAAAAGGTCATGAGCTATGATGCACGGATACGGATACGGGACACGGATACGACACGGACACGGATACGGGATACGGCAAAATCCAAAAAAGTAGGATACGGGGATACGGCTAGGATTTTTTTTCTTCAAATTATTATTATATATAGAAAAAATTATAAAATTCAACTAATAATCTAAATTATTGCATAATGAGCTGGGCATTGACATGGAAACATCAAATATTGAAGTATAATAAACTGGCATATATCTCCATTTCAAAAAAGAATAAAGGAGAGTGCAAATGAAATAATGGGTCTTAAATGTTAACATTAACTTAAAATTGAGAAAAGTAAGACAAACCCTCCTTAAATTTATAGATTTTCAAAAAAAATCATTTTTAAATAATCTTTTGACCAGATTATAATTAATTATAGAAGAAACTTGAAGTTGAGAAACCAATTTTTCAGAGACAAGGCTTTATAGTGGAGTCGGTTTTTGGGCTTCAGAGTCGCATTCTAGTCTTTTCAAAAAAAAATCATAAAGAGAGATGAAGAGATCCAGAGAGAGAGAGAAACTCAGAAATCAAGAGAGAGAGCCGAAGATCTCGAGAGAGAGAGAGAGACTCAGCTCGAGAGCGCAGAAGAAATCCAGAGAGAGACTCAGAGATCGAGATCGGAGAGCGCAGAAGAAATCCAGAGAGAGACTCAGAGATCGAGATCGAGAGAGACCGACCTGCGACGAGGACGAGCGTTCGACGACGACGAGGAAGAAGGGATCGACGAGGACGAGCGTTCGACGACGACGAGGGCGGAGGGATCGATGAGGAACGAGCGTTCGACGACGATGAGGACGAGCATGAAAGCGATGACGAGCGTGCGACGAAGAAGAAAAATTAGGTTTCGACGAAGGGATCGACGAAGGGATCTGTGATTTTGTGGCGGCGGCGGCGTGGGGTGAGTGAAAAAATTAGGGTTGAGTTTTGGGTTTGGGTTTCGGGTTTATGTAACGCTCCGTTTTTTTCTCTTTTGCGAATCCCAGGCGTGTCCTTGATGGGCTTTGACCGTATCCCTCATAGTTTGACCATTGACCAGTGTCGGACACGGATTGACCGTGTCCGACACGTGTCGTGCACGTGTCGTGCACGAATCCGTGTCCGATTCGTGTCGGACACGGATTCGTGGCCTCCGGGGGCGAATCCGTGCTTCATAGCATCTAATGGCTTCTGCCCTTCTCCTGGGCTTTGCTCTTTACATAATCTCTTTCCCATAACCAACGGAGTTGGTGCCGGATTGGAATTCTCCATTCCACGAATCCGTGTCCGATTCGTGTCGGACACGGATTCGTGGCCTCCGGGGGCGAATCCGTGCTTCATAGGTCATGAGAAATGGAAGAAGTAGCAGGCTGCGCACATGAGCTATAGAAGCCATTGAGCAAGACATAAATTCTAAGAGAGTGCATGCTGATTTTTACAAAAAGGTCTATAGCTAGATTGTGTAACAGAAGGTAATAAAAGGTCATGAGAAATGGAAGAAGTAACAGGCTGCACACATGAAATAATGGACACGGATATATGCAACTCAGATTCATTTCTTGCCATTCTTCTCCGTCTGAAGCGACAGCAAAGATGAATATACAGTACTGAAGAATATACTGTTGATGTACTATATATTAATTCATATAAGAACTGAAGTATAGTTATTCAAGAAGAAAATAAGGATGTTCCCACAGAGAAAGAGGTAGACAATGTAATATAAAAACAAATAATTTTTTGTACTGTTTGTAAAATGTGTTAAGTTATATCAAGTAAATGAGAAATGAGCATGTACTAGCTGATAAATTGGATTGACTGACACTAACATGTGGTGCGCTTAAAAGGATTTAGGAAACTAGGGGAAAACAACGTAAACAGGAAGAGTAAGTTGATATAAAGTTAAAAAAGCTGGTAAAAGTTTAACAATCTGGTGATTTTACGAAGAAAAAAATTGACAAGGGCAACAAGGCCAAGCCATGTTTTCAAAGAATATAATATTACTAACTGGCAAAGTTTACTAAAAAAAACAATAAATATCAGAATCCATAAGCTACTGAGGGGCAGGCAATTCAAGTTGTACAAATGAGATAAACTAAAGATTCTATCACTTATTAATGCTCACAATACCAGTTTAAGCGTATTGAGTTCTGAAATCTACTTTCATCTAAAATGTACATTATAAAACAAAAAATGGCACTTTGCAATCTACATCAAGATGATGAGTTCTCACCAGGTAACAGATGTATTAAAACACTGACAATTTTGTCAGCAGAACTGAAAACAAGACTGCAACGCCAAACAATCAACGCCCAAGCCAAAGGACCCTGAAAGAATTCAGCTGGATAAGCAAATAATGTTCCTAAAAGGGGAGAGAAGAAAAAAAGGAAAAAGAACATCATCAATAAAACCACAGTTGGTGCTTACTTCTGCAAATGAAAAGCAGACCATGAAGAGCTTTTCATTCTTTGGGTAGAAAAGGAGCATAATCAGAAAAATTGTGTTGGCATAGTAGCAGAAATCCTGTTCATTCAGTATCATTAAAATCGTGCCATACACAAGATTGAAGAAAATAAAGTAGTAATGGAGCATCCTTCCTGTAGAAACAGAGGTTGACAACAAAAACGGAAATAATATGTTTGATATCAAGCAATAAATGAATTTGGCCCCACTACAACTTCCATAAACATATTACAATCTACGATGATATTTATTCATAAATGTCAACTAACATGCAACTAAATGAGACTTATTTTAATTTAGTACTGTTCATCTTCATTTACTGATTTTTATAATCATATGCAACCATTTTTGTTTCAACTTGTAAACGACAGGAACAGGTTTGCTCCACCATGCATACCAACGTGTGCTAGAAAGATTATTGAAGTTTAAACACCTACAGAAGAAATCTTGATAGTAAAATCTCATTTTTTGCATATAGATTTAAGGGAGGACCACAATTGTCAGAATGCACATCAATGAAATAAATTTGTCTTAAAATAAAAAAGTAGAAGTCACATATAATGATGGCGAAGTTTTTAGGAGCATGATTATCCCTTGGTGTCATAAAAAATTAACTAAGAAATCCCTAAGGGGTCACTTAAGCTCTCAGCATCCAACATGCTTCTGTTACTCTTAGATATTCCATTGTACATAAAGTCAAATAAGTAGACTTTATATTGACAAAGTTAATTATTCCTTGACATACCAAAAGGAGCTAACCCAACAAGTTTCTGGAACAAAGTTTTATAACATTCCTCTCTGGAACAGAGAGAGATTTCATAAATAGAACAAGAATATCAAACCTGCTACTTATACATATCATCAGCTAATACAAAATGCTACTCCAAAATATCAAACCTGCTACTTATGACCTCTCTTAGAAATACCAAAATGATTTGACCTGTTCCTCTCTGCCAGGTTTCAACTCCAAGGGCTAAATGTACAGGACCACATAGAACAAGAATAGCCATTATTACCACAAACTCCAGATAGAGCAATATTCTTCTCAATGTTCAAAATCAAACTTAGACATCTAGGACACAGATGGGCACACTTTATCTAGGAAAAGGCAAGGACTCCATGGTGGACATAAGGCTTGCAGTACTAAGATAGAATGTTGAACCGTTTATGGGCATGTTGACATACTACTAACAGTCTAAGATAGAAGAGACCCTTTATGGGGGCACGGCGACTAATCAATGCTAGGTTGGATGTCAAGTAAGTGTAAATTTTATGCGTATGAGAGGTAACACTTCAGTGCAAAAACTAGGCACCTAAATGTTTTTTTTACCTCTTTTTTTTCTGAAGAAAAGTGGAGTACAGCCACCTGCTTCATTAAAAAGAGTGCAATGGAACAAAACAAAATTACAAAAAATAGGGGCTAGGATGGTCATCAACCACCTGCCAAGTATGCACTTTGGTTGAGCCAAAGCTTGAATAAAGAACCCCCTAAGGACAAGGGAGACGAGTACCAGCCTTCTAGACGTTGGAAAAATATTATGGAACCTAATTAAACCACAGCCTTCTTCATTATCTCTATACTTTTGCATGTTCTGCATATAATTTCAATAGTTGTTCTCTTGCATTTATTGAAGCTAATAGAACTCAGATGGAAAAGATGAGAAACAAAGGAAGTTAATAGTAATAGTAATAGTAAACAGATGGTTCATACGAGTGCACAGAGAAAGTTTAAAGGTGAGGTTGTTTATGAGGCTGCACATAGTTCCATACGAGGAGCTACCCGCGCAATGTACAATCTCATTAATAATTAAATATACATGGAAAGATCAATAAAAGTGTCAAGACCATCTCTAAAGTCCTTGAACATATATACACAACATGTAATATTACTGGCCAATAACATTACAAAAATGTTATACATGTCAAGGGATTCAACATTCTCTGCAATGGCTAAATGACATGTTCAAAATACAACAGAAACATACCACCTTTACATTTTCGAGAATAAAGTTTGCACACTATCATTGCTTGTTGATTGAAATACTATAACTTCTAAAGCAAGAATATAAATTCTATAACAAGATACAAGGTAGCAAAAGGAAACATCTTCAGCAAGCTTTAGCACACATGGTACCTAGCAAAGGAAGTAAACATAAAAAAATGTTATATATCAAGCAATAAATATACACTCACCAATAGGTAATAATGCCATTTCTTGTACCGATAATATATCCATCGAAGAGGAACGAACGTAACGTAGAACAAACAATACACATATGGAACATCTTGGGGACCTAAAATCAATAAAAATCTAAATTACTTCACTAATTAATCACTCCAAAACAAATGGGTAGGATTCTAGTATAACTTACGAGCTCCCAATAGGTAGCAAAACGCGCCAAATCCAAGAACACCCACCAAATGGGTCACCTAATTTCCCAACAAAATCCACAAAGAGACAACATTTATAATGAAAAATTTCAAGAATACCCATCATTTCGAAAGGGGTGAAGTGAAGGACCTTATTGATAAATCTCTCGTGCTCTTCCGCTTGTTTGGCGATCTTAACCGCTTGCTTCGATATGATCTTCTTAGTTTGAACCGCTTGCTTCGATAGGATCTCCTTCGTGTCAATCACTTTCTACACACCAAAAAAAGAGGAAACTTTCTGGAAAAAAAGAATGCAAAATTTGGAATTTTAGGGGGGGTTCTATGCGAGAATACCTTCGACCGATCGGCGATCCTCTGCCGAACCCTTTGAAACGTCTCTCCGTCGTCGAGGCTGGCGTCCGCTTCAGACATCTTCGATAAATTCCACAGAGGGGGAGAGGATTTAGAGCTCTAGAGATAGAGAGAGAGAGAGGGACTCGAACAAAAAGTTTGAGACGGTGAGT